GACTGCGCCTACGTGATGAGCCCCAAGAAGGGCGAAACCGATCGTGGGCTGTCAGAGAATTTTCAGAAAACTTGTGAGTAGTTTCCTTTATTAAAGAGAAACGTCTCATTCGAATTCATGCCACCAACAGTTCCAGTCAGATGAGATGAGTCCAAAAGTACGTAAAAATTTCGGCATGGAGACACGCGTCTAAAGACCGTCAACCGAAGAAAGGACAAACAATGTTGAATGCTCTTCAAGGCGCGGTAAGCGCTAGCACAACCAAGACTCGCAAATCAGGCACAGTGTCCGTCACACAGGGTCTGGTGTGAAAGTAAATGGCAAAAATGTACATTCAACGCCACATTCCACGCATAAAAGTTTCATAAGTACGCAGGGAGCCCACAATGGCAAGCAAACACAAGTCACTGACTGTGACCTTAGGAAGTCCCAGTCCAATAACAGCCTTGGCGGATTGAGAAAAGCAAATCCCTCGATAAGAGATGATCATCGGTCGGTGGACCAAAAAGTCGACATCACAACCGATTACACGTAGGACTGGGATTACGGCGAGGGAATATTCATCGGCACTATACTTCTGCTTCTCCTCGTTCCACACAGTCACTCCGCGCCCATTCGAGACTATGCTGACGTCTATTACAGTTCCTCGACACTTCCGAACAGAGATTAGGTCAGGTTTGATGAAGGACGGCGAAATAGGTGCTCTCAACTCCTCGAAGACGTTGTACCCAGTCGACGGAGACGTTTTGCGAGTTCCCTTGCAACCCGATTATGACGAGCATATCTGGCGTCATGCATGACCCAGCAGGATTGCAAAATACGCACCAAACTCTCCGGTTACCCAAGGTTTCCACGAATAAGATCGCTCTGGCCACCATGACCATCCCGAGCGCTTCTAACTCTCGTCCCGAGCAGGTTACATTGAAGCTGGATACCGCGGATAAATATCCGAGGAAACACTCGTTCTGGAAATACGAGCCATCGATTCGAGAGAGGCCAAGCGACCATCTCTCGTGAATCGCGACCGTCAAGGCTTTTGTGCAGACTATCGCCCCAAGTAGCCACCAGCTCTTCCTTGGTGTTTAGGCATGCACCATGGACTCGAATCGGAAGCCTGAGATCCCGAAAAAAATTTGTCAAATGCGGAATCGTTGACCACATTGCGCAGTACTCAGCACCGAGTAGAAAGGAGCTTTTCCATACGCGTTCTCCGCTGCATCGGGATTTTTGTTGCACTCAGACTTGGGAATCCAAGTACCCCATGTTGTTTACCGGCGTGGATGTAGCTGATCGGGGTGTCCTTCGGTAGACGTAGCCAGCCACGAATATATTGCCTGATGTAGTTGTCCAATCTTCTGAGCGTGTTCCGCTGAACTTGGCCGAGCACGAGCGAATATGTCAGCCTCGGTATCAGGTAGTTCCTCGTGATCTCCATTCTTTGATGCGGTTTCAGCGGTGCACGCGTCACTTCATCGAATAGTTTGGGCAGGTGTTGTCGGTGGTTGAGGACCCCTTTCCCTTTGGAAGTAAAGGGAATGCCCAATTATGTTACGTTCTCTTACTTCCTCATATTCTTTCAGGTGCATTTTTATTGCTGTGTCAGAACTTTTGGTTCAGTTAATATTCGGATCACGATTAGGATGACAATTTTTTTAGACATTCATGATGTTAGCTTTATCAGTTTGGAGACTGGGACTCATCGTGTTTCTATCTGTCCGACAGAAGTTTTATCTCCGTTTCGGTGTATTTCATTGCTCATATCCTGGATCTTTAGTCGACCTGGAAGTGAATTGAGCAAGTCATCCGTCCCATGCTGTTCGGCAACTATACTGTGAAAATGACGAGATTCCAAGCCCTATTTTAATGACGGTCTGGTCTAAAGTAATTATAGATAAGTGCCATTGTGTTTCATGTGTTCTCGACCACCTCGTGACTCACTGACACTACGTTAGCGGTTTTTCGCTTGTTAAGTACGATATTCAACAATCGATCATATCCGATTCTCATTTGAAATGATTACGATAAGCAAATCCGAGATGCCCGAGAAAAGTAAGTTGGGATTTTAGAGACTCCGCATACCATACGGAAAACAAACTTGTAGAGAACGTGCGGAATTCATAGAAATTTTATCCACATAATGTCTGACACATGCGAACATGTTCAAACTTCGAGCGATATGTCTCGAGTGTGGTGAGATGATAGTAACGTGCCTGCCTAGACGGAATTTGGGGTCCAGTACAGCCTCGGTGAGCTCCAGTAGGGGGACAACTCGAGCCCAGTGCTTCCCACTCTCACTTGGACTGACCAGAATGTAATCGCGCCGAGGGAGGATGGGGTATTCAAACGATGGCCAAACCATGTGCCTACGGCGAGTAGGCTCTGCGCAAGCCGGTCGAAACAACGCGTTCGAGCCACTTTCACGCAACAAGCCTACACGCGTCTGTACGTCACACCTGTTATGGTTTAAGGCAGTCCGATCGATAACCAAAGCGTGTACACACAACCAACCAAACTCACACGATCTGTGTGCGTATGTACACGTTTTAAGCGCACCAGTAGTTCACAGGTTTGTGTGTCTGTCTTCCATCCGTACCGGGCGTCTGCTCTAGAAGTATCGCTCTGTCCGGTAAGAATGTGAGGACTTTAGCATTTGGTGAGCGTTTCAGCTATGCCGAAGTGCCCTAATTGCAACAAAGAAGTTTATTTCGGTAAGTCACTAACGAAACCAGCTATTCTCCTCACTCTATTTAAAAGCGGAACGGGTCACATCTCTGGGAAAGGATTGGCACCGTCCGTGTCTGAAATGTGAACGATGCAAGAAGACACTTACTGCCGGGTCGCATAGTGAGGTAAGTATTGATGACTATTCTCATATGTTGGGACCACTAAATTCCCCAAACGAACGGACTCGGTTTAATAGATTGAGGGTCGAACCGGGCTTTGTTGTTCACGTCCCGTGGACCGGTGTTTGTCTCGAGAGACGATTGTCTTTGTGATTTGGGTTGTTTGTAGAGCTTAAAAACCGATAGACTGGTTTCTTGATCGGAAAATTCAGTTACGCGTGATGAAACCAAACAGACTGTCTGTTGCTCGGGTGGGCGCTCCACCGGTTCTTCTGTTTTCTACCCTTTTATTCTCACGTGACTTGTGGCTTGACTACTAGAGAACTATTATCAGTGTCACTGGTGATGCCTTTGTGTAACCTCCGAAACGGTCTTGTGCTTTGAAGATCAGGGTTGTGCTCACCTGGCCACACCTGTGCAGTCAGCTCATCCATTTCCAACACAAGGTTTCCTGTTTCCGAACTATATGTACTGGTCCTCAGTCCTAGGATGAGAGGACGTCACAGAAGATGCTAGTGTTCGACCTCTCTGCGGAGGGGAATATGACGCTCAGTCATGGCTGTTGAGGAATGTCACTATGTCACTTCTGTCCGGAAAAGTCCCTTTTGGAAAATCACCTCGTTTGTTTATTCGCCCGGGACGCAGTTGATTCTATACTTAGCCACCAAGCCAGAGAATGAGTGAGAAACGTTGGATCCCGGAGGTCGACCCCCTTAGTTTCCACAAAAAATCTCCAATGATCGAGAACAGTTCCGTGGGTAAATTCAAAATTTAAGAGGGGTGAACAATGAGATGTGTGGGACGTTCAACGTCGCAGTTTTAACTAGGGTTGATAAGTTTCAATTCTTTGAGCTTCCGTCCGCCAAACTTTTGTCCAAGGCCTTGTTTGGTGTAGCGTTCTACACAGACTTTAGAATCTCGTGATCAGGTCGTGGCTGAATCAGCTTTTATTCTGGTTTCATGTTGTCGGTGACTGATTTTGTCGGATTTTTTAGGGTTCCATATTTATTCTTTTTGAAGCCAAAAATTGAGGAACAAATTGCCAACTTGTGTTTTATAGTAATGTGAGGAAATATCGTCATATTCAGTGGGGATTTCATCCTGTCATTGAAACCAATCTGCGCTGAAAATCCTAGAAGCACTGTACAGCTGTTTCATACTTGCTGGGAATCATCAGTGGTCTGTATCTCACGAAATTCAGAGTTTCGAACCTGTTGAACACTGCCGTTTGGCCAAGAGTGGGTGATCAGCAATGTGGTTGGCTCTCACTTAGATAGGACAGAGTGCCACTCATCCTTCACTAACGGAAAACCACATCACGTGATGACGTAATGACTGGTTCCTCGAGCGACAGCTTCTCAAATGGAAGTGGATCCCCTATGTGGACGGCACCTTTGTCATCACGAAGCGGGATTCAGTACAGGATGTACATGAACTTCAACACCACGTTTGAAGATATCAATCAAGTTTGCAATCGAACTGGAGAAGAACAACCGACTACCATTCTTGGACGTTTTTTTGGTGAACAGAAAAGTGGATGGGACTCTGGAAAGAGACATATACGGATCAAATACGGAACTACAACAGCAATCATCCAGTGAACCACAAGAGCTGCGTCCAAGCCCTGTTCAAGAGGGCGGAGATATTGCAGCACCACAGAACTACAGAAGAATGTAGAAAACCATCTATTCAGAGTATTCCAGAACAATGGATACCTATGGAATTTTATAGAGAGAAGCTTGAACAAGAAGACATCCCAACAACAACAGCAAGAACAAGCCCCCAGACTGGTAGTTCTGCCCTATATCAAGAATATATCGGAACTCGCAAACAGGTTATTAGCTCACAAACCGAATGCCACTCTAAGGAAATTAAGCTCTAGACCGAAGGACAACCGAAACAAAAGAAGAGGAACAATGTGATACATCAAATTAACTGCAACCACTGCAATAAATTCTATGTTGGACAGATCAGGAGGAAGTTATGCATACGAATAAAGAAACAATATGTGGCCGTCAGGAGATATGACCCCTTATCCCTGATATCCGTACACGAGGACCAGGGCCACAAATACAATGTGGATAACGCAAATATTTTGGCACACTGGAAGCTCCATGGCGGGCTCGATCAACCGACGCATTGAGCTAGATCCAATCTACGCACCACCACATGCAAGGGACCAACATCTCAACCGGAGTATTCAAGGAGAACCGAATATCGGATTCACAAAGAAACAAGGGAAGCCTTGGAGTCAGATCAATAAAAGTCACAAGCCGTAACTCGCAAGAGTCAAAAACAGGGGCCACTCCAGCACCAACCAGAGTACGAGGGCAAGGGATACCAAGCTGAGGTCACGTGGGCATCGAAGCAGTGCTTCTCGGCTTTACTTACAGGACGAAATCTCCACAAAAATTGAGTGTTCTTCACCCAGTGCCTACGACTCATTTGTTCTTGGGTGATGGAGATAAGCTCACTTATCACGACACATGTCGGCCGGGTACGCGAACTATGAGTGACTTAGACGCACTGCTTCGGTGGGTGAAAAGTTGTGCTAGTTTCTCAGGCTCGGTGACAAGCTCGTTGGTTATTTCAACATCTGAAGTCCAATGAGCTATCCGTTTGTGTACTGATTGGTGTGAACGGAAGCTGAAATGGAGTTTCGATTTATCCTCAGTTGCAACATAAAAGATGCTTCATATTTCATTTGGGCTGATATTCGAGCTGTCGATTTTCATCCCTGGGTATCACCACTCATAAGATCGGTGCTAGCTTATATTAAGGCGCATGTCCAAAAACCTACTCTATGGGACGATATGTTAAGAGGCTATTCTCCGGTGAAATGTGAAGACTTACCACCAGTTTCAATTTCCAGAGGCGTTTTAATTGTTTCATTGTGAGAAATTATCCAAAAAAAGAACTGCCTACGATTTTTCGAGTTTACTTCAACTTACAATGGCCTCACAGCGTTCCTGAAGGGCGCTCTCTGTTTATGGAATTACTTTATGTGGTTCGGTCGATGCGGTTTGTCTGAGTTCCAGTATGCTTTGTACTTTTGTTTCAGCATGAAGGCAAACCCTACTGTACGATTCCCTGTTACCAAACGTTGTTTGGCCCCAAAGGTGAGTCCTTTTCTAGAGCTTTGCACTGCACTTTCCACTGAAAAATGCACACGGGACACCAGACCATCAATATGTGGTAGAGGCTAAGTGACACTTTCTCAGTTGAATCTAAATAATGAGGCCCGCTACTGAGTTCGGGATAGCTCTGCGGTTAAGGCACGAACTTGCTAACCGGAAAGTCCGTAGTTCGAACCCAACCTCTGTATCTCAGCCGCTCCTGTCTACGTCTGGGCAACCTAAAAGTAACTCAGCCTTCTTGCTGCCTTTAAGTAGCATGGCAGCTATCCACCGAAAAGGTGTTACAGCTGGTCGATTAATTACTACTGCTGCAGCCAGATAACACGTACACCAGAAGATAACGTCTTCCAGATCATCTTCTGTTGGTCTGCTGTAAAATCACTGAAAGTGGTAATGGTTCATGGCAAACGCTTCTTTTCAGGATTCAAATGCTACGCACGATCTTAGTTATCTCCATAAACCACGTTGATTTAACTTGGAAGTTAGCCCAACGCCCTGCATACTTCACAGTATTGCCTGATGCGTGTCTGTCACACAAACCCATCTATCAATGTTGCCCTCCCTTCTGAAGATGGAGGAAGGTTCTGCTGTGAGTTTATTCTGGCTGAGCTGCAGATGGTGGTGGTACTTGTATTCAGACGGGTTTGCGATCGATGATTCATCGTCTCTGTTTTCTCCTTGTGATGATTTCTATCATCCACAACAGAATTCATTTCATTTATTGTCCTGATAGTACGTGATCCCGCTATTCTACTTGAGTGACCCTGCTACCAGCCTAATGTGGATTGCTCCCAGTGAGAATCCTCTGTAATCATGGCCTACCTCTGGCCGCGGTTTATTCCCCTTCCAAATTTATATTTCTTATGAGGGCGCCGTATGCGAACTCCTGTAGATAAATACCTGAGTTCACCACGTCCAGTGGTGTAAGACAGGGCTGTCCTCTCTCACCTTTCCTCTTGAACCTTGTTATGAATACGCCGCTTGAAGTCTCTCTGCCTATCTCTGAAACCTCGGGAGTCGAAATGCTCCCGGACATTGAGTATGCAGATCCTTCAAAAATACAAACCACTAAACGACCTAAATAACTCTGCCGTGTGGTTTGGCATGCGCCTTACACCTGCAAAGTGTAAAGTGCTGCTACAAGACTGCGTGGGATTAAACCCACGCCTCATGCTTGCAGGTGAGCCAATCGACGTGGTAGATAAATTTGTTTACCTGGCCAGCTCTCTATGTTCCGGTAGTCAGGCTGGAGATGAGATTATTTCTCGAGTCAACCCCCAACACCAATGGCGCAGATGTCAAAAGCAGAGTTTGCATTGCGGCAGTGGGATCCACACTGCTTTATGGATAAGAAACGTGGCCTCTGCGCGTAGAGGACATAAGAAAGATGTCAGTGTTTGACCATCGGGGTCTCCAAAGCATTGGTCAAGTCTGGTAGAAACATCGGGTTAGTAATGCTGAGGTGCGCCCGTTCATAGGAAAAAGGAACTTTTCTGTGATACATGAATTCCTCACGTTTTATAGAGTACGTTGTTTAAGGCATGTACTTCGCATGCCAGAAGACTGTCTGCTCATTTCTCCCGGCCCTGTGTTGAGTGAAAGTGACCGATAGATGAACGGTGTGTAACCTGGCAACGAAGTACGAAAACACGAACCAGTAAACTGAGTCGGGTCGACAGCTGCCGCCTATCTGAGTCTCCCCGGGACTCAACTCACCTTTGGATAGTGACACTGGCAGAAAAGTCCCAATAGCGTAGTCAGCGGTGCTCATTCATCAGAGCTATCATCTTCAATGCGCAGCTGCTCCTATCTGAGTCTCCCCGGGACTCAACTCAACTTTCCATAGTGACACTGGCAGAAAAGTCCCAATCGCGCAGTCAGTGGTGCTCATTCATCAGAGCAGCTGCCCAGTTCCCGAACTAACCAGATATGCCATCGCCTCCAAGGCTTGACTGTATGTTCCACACTCTCCCACTTTCTGGTGATTGAAGTTGTAACAGTTGTAACCAATGTTCCTGTGGCACACAGTTTATAGTCGATAAGTAGATAGATTGATTTGCAGTTTATTTTACTGTGTTGTGGATTTGTCCTGGATTGCCTTAAGGTACATTACCATGGTGAATACGTTCTAGTATTTCTTTACTGTAACAGTCTCCATCGCATCAGTTGTACTTTATTGTAGATTCATTACGCCCATAAAGTACGATATCCACAAAACAACACTCATACTTTCTTCACAGGTCGCACTATCCATGGGATTTGTGGAAGCTGTTTGACAGCCCGCTATGAGTAAAAAGCGTGACTGCTCGTCAACGTTAGAAAATTTGGTAAAAACCTTATGAATACGATTCCTTTAGGTTGCAGTGAAATCCCTTTGCCCCAAATATTCGAACAAGGGTACTACCAAACTTCCATATTGCCTTTCACTACAGCCTCCCACAGTAAAGGTACATGTGTCAGTCGGTCGCTCCAAACCAGGTCGTTATAGCCTCGTGTTAACTAACGACATTTTCCAACAAGACGTTGGAGTAATTTGCCCTAGCAGTGCGATTAAGCATATGCATGTACAGATGACAGGGAAGTACATGCTTCCCATATTGTTAAACTGCACACAACCTTGAAATGTACGTTGGCGGTAAACCGAGGAATGGCCCATTTGTGACACTTTCCGGCGTCAATGTGTAGCTCACATTCTCGAGAACGTATCAGTTGCACATGGTATGTGCGTATTTACTCAAGAGTGTGAGGACACGGCCACTGGACAATCGATTGAATTGCACAATGCGCGTGCTCTGGTATGTCCTAAGTGTTGGATTTCAGAAGCACACATTACCTGGCGCCAAAAGGTTGAAACGGGCAGCCCAGGAACAGCACGCATAAGTTACATGACCAGAAATCTTTTCAGATCTCATTCTAACATGCAAGCTTCCGTTATGTACCTATTAGGTGGTCAGTGACATCACCACCCCATTGGTTGCATGTGCACACTTCCTGATTGATAGAAAAAATAAAAAATAAATGAATCGTTTAGCTGTAGCACCTTTTCGGTGTCTAACTGCCATGCCACCAGAAGGAAGCACGATGGCTGAAATAGTGCCGGGTAGCCCAGATCTAGACAGCGGAAGCTGAGAGGCAGAAGTCGGGTTCGTACCACGGACCTTCCGGTCTGTAAATTCGTGCTCTAACCACTGGACCATCTCGTTTGTATACCCCTTCGATTTTCATTGGAGGTTCACCAGAATCCCAGCTGGATCTCTCAGTTATGATAGGAAAATGGAGGTAGCCTAAATCTCTGACATCTTAGTTGTGCCCATGTCTCCATGGATTGGGAAAGACAGAGCTTACCTGATGATCAGTCTGTAATGGCTTTATTCCGGAGCATTACTGAACAGGAGTTGACTGCAATAGGTTATTATAGAAAGACGACGTAGTTGTGATGTCAATGGGAATTGGAGAGGCAGTTGGAGCCGGTTAAAGGGCACGCGAGTTCTACAAAGGTACCTTCAAGAAACAACTTGGTCCACTGAGGTCCGAGTGCAAAAAGCATCCAATATCTCGTGACTTGATTGTCCAAGAACTTGGGCTGTCCAACAGAATCGTGAACCACACAACCGGAGCTTTTTGTGTGACTGAAATGTTGGTATCATCGACCAACCACCAGTGAACTCACCCTCCGCGGTTTCACGGTATTTCACAATCCAATCGACAAGTTTAGTTCCCAAGCTTAAGGTCTTAGACTCAGGAGCGTGCGCTTGAGTTAACCAGTGGAGCTAAATTTAACTTCGGAACATTTAAGCTAGCTGAAAATCATGTGTCATGCTGAGGAGTGTTTCAGTCTCCCGACCTTTGCGAAAAGTTGATCTGTCGTCTGTAGTAGTGGTACCAGAGTTGACAGCGGTTTGCTTATCCTTTTTTGCGGAACATTCTCGTTGTAACTTTTTGTAATGTACTACTCATAAGGTTGCTGAAAATCCATCGACAACCCACATGTATATCTTATGAGTATTACATTACAAAGATATATATGTGTCGCGATATCTCGAATGTCGTAGCGACTGAAGCATGAGGTGGCCTGGTGCAGCACATTCACTTGCCTGAGAACGTCACAAACGAGAGATTCACCTGGGTTCCAGATGAGTCTCTCAAAAAACCAGATTAGTTCGCAAATGAGTGTATATTCGCTATTCTCGTTGTAACTTTCGCATAGCGGGTGATGAATTGATCCCCTTACGACAGAGGTCCCTATTCGTAGGACACAAACAAGGGTTGATCACTGCAGTCTTGTTTAGTTTTCTAGAAGCGGAGCAAAACGTTGGTTCAACAGCACAACATCAATTTAATTTTACATATAATCGCTCACTATTTGGCATCACACTACGAGTCCAACCGGTAGTCTACATCGTGACGAAGTCTTGACCATGTAACGTATTGGTGTAAGGTATGAAATTTTGTGGCCCCGTCTCTCGACTTCCCCTATCTGGGCTTGGACAATCTGGCAGTATCCCAGCCCTCGTACTTCCTTCGGTTGGCAGCTGAGTACCGAAAGCTGGCTACAGAAAAAACAATTCTGACGTCAGGACAGGCACAGGTTTGGGAATCAACCATGCGGTTTGTAATATCCAATAGTATCGCAATGCGCGTAATTACCAAAGACCTAAATGAGCACTTCCTTGGTTGTCCAGACATACAGTCCTCACGTTACGTTTGCGAACAGATGCACACATACACACACACACAAATACACACGTACTTTTGCAGTACACGTCACTGAGTGAGTGCTGCGCTGTCTCCTCGTGCTTGCAGGCATGTGTGATATTAAGGCTACTTGCTTCCATCTTCAGTGAGAAACAAGCTTGTTTCATTCACTGATGGCGAAGTATTAGCTAATACGATCAAGATGTGATACAAATGACAAATTTTTCTCACTTCAGCTTTGTAGCCTTGTGCCGTTGCTACATGCGTTGTTCTCCCCCTTCCTCTAGTGACGTTTCCATCGTTTTTCCACGGTTACATCGCTGATTTTCTGTCGATCGTCTAAACGACGTGATTGTCTGACTCTTCTGTTGTCTGGTTTCAGGTTATGGGACCTCTGCGAGCAGTCACGTTTACAATTGAGCACGTGGTACAGGAAGCCTAGATGGCTTCTGATGACCAGATTCATTCCTGTTTTTTTTAGATTGCTGAACTTTACAATACACAACTGAGTCATCATGCAGTCTCATGGCTTTAAATTTCACCGATTTCCCATTGACTCTGTGCATGGAAATTCCACGGCGTCCCATCACATATCACCCGCATTCCCCCATCAGTAGCATCACTGTTACACCGGGAGGTGTATGGGCGCCGTCATGACGCTGGGAGTTGGAAGAGTTCGTAGAAGCCTCGGAACCCATGGGTTTAACATATGTATTATGTATTACAGTATAACATAAGGGGATAGGTGGAATATTGGTATCCTTGTGTTCTGGCGAATTAGATGAGTTCTTTGATGAAAATGTATCGTTAAATTGGTTGTTTCAACCACTGAACAAGAGATACAATTGAATAAATTAAACCGCTACGATTATTTGGGGCAAGAAGGGTTCTCAAAGGCGAACAAAATACTGAGGTAATTGCACTGGAGAAGAGCTGGTTCATCGATCCGGCAGGTCAACCTTTCGTTGACGTAGGAAGAGTTCTAACTACCTTCTCGGCTGTTGATCTGTTTGCCGAGGTTGATCATGTTCTCGTAAACTTTCCCTCATCAGTGCAGCGTTGGGTGGGTTCTAAGAGGATCTCCTTGGTACATCATCTAGTTGATGATAAAATCTATTATCTAAAGGACCAAGTGGTAAGAGCGCAAATTTACCGACCAGAAGGTCCGTGGTTCGCACCCGACCTCTGTCTCTCGACTTCCCCTCTCTAGGCTTGGGCGACCTGACTGTATCCCAGCCCTCGTGCTTCATTCGTGTGGCATGGCAGCTAGGTACCGAAAGGCTGCTAAAGCTGGACGTTTTATCAAACTAAACTATCTGCTAGTCGGAAAGATTCGGGTCCTTTGCTTAATACACAAAATCAAAGTAAACGAAATCGAAGAGGGCAGTCTTCCACGAATTGATGTTACAGCGTACTCTCTCCAAAACACCGAACCGAAGCGCCGACCTTGGTCCTCCGGCACACAAAGACTCGTCATTTGTTTTGCCGAGAGAAAGCTACTTTCAGTCCGGATTCCTTGGAAAGTGAACCGACTCGAACGACAGCTGTCCTCAAAGTAGGCGGCTATCCAGACTTCTTAATTCACAGACACTGTCACTGCATCCACAGTTGTGGGGCTGGCGGAAAAGCCATGTTTATCTGTTCCACTTAAGGAGGGATAGAGCCCTCGAAATGCTAATGAAAAATCCGTTATCCGCTCCTAACAAGGTGTTTTCGGATGCCAAGCGAAACACACTTCCGAAACCGTTCCAGCGTTTAGAAGAGACTCCCAATTCGGTCCAATTCTCCTGTCTTCCATTTGCTTACCCGCATTTGCAGCGAAGAGTATTTAGGAGGTACATTTAGACGTTCGAGAGTTCGTCCCAACTTCCCTGGGTAAAGGTACGATGAAAATAGTCTATAATTTTATTCCTGATTATCTGGATCAGGTGAAAACATTACTTTACCGTATTTAAGTGACTGTGAAGATGGAAGCAATCAGCAGCCGAAAGAAACTTGAAATGGACAAGCAAAGGTGGCTAAGGTGACCCAGAATGCCTCATGGCTAGTCATGCTTTCCACTTATTCAAACAAAATTTCTTCCTCTAAGTGAGTCCAATCTATGCTGAAAACCCCAGGGCCACTGAACACCTCTTCCATCCTTATTGGGAACAATTAGCAGTGCATATCTGACGGATTCGCCAGCTCCCAGCTAATAGGTCGAACACTTAACCGTTCTACCAGGCGACTCATCAGTTAGTCTACACGTGACCATGTGATGTGGATTCCGTGATTGGGGAACGAGTGATGCTACATCCTAAGTGTGGGTTAACCACAATACTGATCGATCGTTCGTGGCCGAGCGGTGGAGTGTTCAAACCATTGGCCGGACGAGTCGCTGGTTCGAGACTCGTGTTACGCCCTGGCGATGATTCCCAGCAGGGTTGAAACAGTACTTCCCAGCTTTTCAGCATAGATTAACTTCACTTACAAGATAAAATCTTCATTGAGCTATTTCAGATTCTCTCCCACTTGACCATTAGCTGATCATGACTCCGGTTCAGTCCGTTTTCGCATCAGTTAGCAGCTCACTTACTAGTGCAGTTTTGTGGCCAACTTAAGCGGTAATGAATTCGTTTTGCCCTTGCTTGTTTTTCGAAGAGAATGTACTTCAGGGGATCTTTTCTTGGAAGCATCGTAGGTCAGAAACGGTCGATCTTGAAGCCGGGTAGACTTTGGGTGAAATTTTGAGTAATTAAAACAACTTGACTTCTGAAAATATTGGGGTTGTGGTTGATTTCGCGTGATCAAAACTAAACCATCTTAAGTACTTTTGGAAAGTTTAAGCTTCTGAATGAAAATCAGAAAAACATCTTCAAGAAGCTTTCCTTAGTAATAAATCTTTTGTCTTGTTTGTACTGCAAGATTCCTATTTGCATGAATATCACGCGGTGTTGAAACACGTCCTATATCAAACCAAATTCGCTCAAACGAGCGCACATCGTTGGTCTTTATCCATCTGCCTGAATTTGCTTGGTTGTTCTATTATTGCAGCTGATAGTTCATAAAGATTCGAATTTAGAAGGTAGGAGGATTAACGAACCAAAAATGTTTGACTCTCTAATAACAAAATAACTTGACAATGAGCATCAACCGCAAAAAAGACAGAATTTAAGTGTTCCTGGTGAATAAAAAGTTAAAGACATGCTTACATTTAAGGCGCTTGAAATTAGGACTTCTGATTCAGTTCCTAGGCGAGACGCAATTCGAGTTTGAACTGAACTCAGTTGGATCAAGTACATCGTTGACAGTGGTACTGAGGACTATTAGAAACAATCTGGACGAATGAAGAAAACAACCCTACGGTACACAAATGCAGAAACCGTTGGCACTAACAACTGGCAAATGGTTCTTAGGCATATGACCCACTTTTTCAGGAGTGTTTATCTGAGCGTTTTTCATCAGCCTCAAGGTCGAACGTGAATTGACAGCGGTGATATCACGGTTCCTGCACGTGACTTGACTATCGTCGTAACTATCGTCCACTCATCAGTTAAGACTGAGACATCGCACGCAGGTCACCAAGGTCGAATACGGGCCCGAAATATGGAACACTGCATCCGCAGTTTTGTTGACAGAATACGACGGTTAACGGAAATCTAATTTTGAACCTACATGCCAAATAAAGATGCTGATATTGAAGACTCAATGGAGTCCCTCCCATTGCGCGTAATATGGAACTTGGATGTTTGGTCGTACAGCGTGACAACCGCAATTAACACAATACCACTGTATGATGCAATCAAACACCAATGAAAAAATTCTGAGGCCTACTTATGAGAAGGGCGTATGTGGATGGGTGTGCCCCTTCATACAACGCATGAAATAAAGTTTAGTATTCAATCAATGGGAAGATATTTGGGACCGAATGGGAAGTCATCGCTTTCAGAGAGGTTTGGTAAACAATAGGTGGATTTATTGCTGGGCAAAGTTTAGTATTCTTCATCTTAAAATCACAAGCAATTTCATCAAAGCACCCTTAGGGGATGCTTTTTAGTGATTATTAATGGACTTGTGGAACACTTTGATCACGTGACTGCTCAGGGTGTATTTACCAACGTTTGGTACCTCTCAGGCACACCGTTTGTGATAAACGTATATAAATGTGTCTACTCCCAGACCCGAATACGTTTTATACAACCGGTGTCCATCGGAAACCACTCGGTATTTCATCCAACCTATTTTGGAAACCCACTACTACTTATGAAAGCTGCATACACCAGTAAAGGTGTGCTATGAGGCGTGTTATGAGGACGCAAGGACGTCCGTTGGTTCCGTTCACCACGCAACCCAAAGGATCATTTAGTGAGCTCATTCATCCTTCACAAGCCCGACTCAAACGACGGGTTATGTAATGAGTACTACGCGAATTACCGCCTCCTACAAGAAACCCTTGCTTCCTACAACCTTACGGTTAGGGTGGGGATCAATTGCACACCACAGCCTCCACTGACTTCGTACTCTGTAGACAAGGACTATCTGACCCTCCCAAGTGCAAATGTGACAACGGGTTTTTGCAATAACTACTGTTCACATCGAATTACTGACGTGCTCCACTATGTTAGTCGAGTTGCCTTATGAGGCTACTAGCCAACGGTTGACTTTCTAATATCCACTCCTCACTTTGGATGGGAAAATGGGTGCAGGTCAGTTCAAGTGGCATCAACTTCGATGTAGTCGACTATGCGAACGGAGTTCTAGACGAACTGGTCAGACCACGTTGGTTAGTTGCAGTCAAACCGGGTTGCGCAGTGAGCGGAAAGTCTACCGAATCGACTTTATCACTACTGTGCCAACACACAGCGCTACTGCAGCCTATCACCGCAGCTCGATCAGCCTAGTAGTTTGTGACATGTGGGATAGAATTCTCTACAGAATCCCGTGTGTCCTAGTATGCTATTGACCTACTGTTCCGTGGAAATACCCGAGTCGTCACTACCGTACTCGCGAACTTTGTGCCTGGGAAACCTAGCGATGCCACTAGCAAGTGAGTCATGAAATCAGCCCGGGGTGAAGATCACCACAACGGGCCCAACAAAACAGGTGTGGTCGAATCGGTGGGTTGTCAGGGGCTTTGAAGATGGCAGCAGTTGGTTAGTTCGGTGGTGATCAAATGAACAAAAATCATATGGACACGTGCGCCTGACTTTTTGAATGGAGCTTCTCATATGGAAGATTAACTCCTCGTAGGACTTATTATCTCCCCTGAGCTACTTGTCACGTGTTGATAGTAAGAAGAGCCTATGGAATATATCGTCTGTCGAGGAACCAGTCGATGCATAACCACGTGATCTGGATTCCATGACTGAATGTTGATTGGCATTAAACCTATATAAGTGCGAGATAATCAGACCACTGCTCAGTCAAAAATCTTAGTCCTGAAGAAGTACTGGCAGGGAGGTTTTGGGTTCGAAACAGCTTAGAGATCTATCAGAAACGCATTGCTGAGGATTCCTATTAGGGATGAAACCGCCGCACATTGTCTCCATGCTCTTCGGCATAGATGGGCATCATTTGCAGGACGAAAACAATTGCAGAAAAACCTGACTCTATCAACAAATTATCAGTAGTTCAGTAGGGATGGTAATCCACACAAGTGGAGCTGTCATTTCAGAATTCGTTACTCGAGGAGCCGGTCAATACGAACGAACAAAAACTGATCGCTCTTTGGCTACCTGGCTACTTAGTATCAGTTTACCTGAAAAATGATACCAGTATGCTATATCAGTCCGTGAAGTTTGTACAGTGTTGTTTTTCTTAGTGACTACGACTTAGTGACTTACGACTTTTTGATGTCACTGTCTTTACACGTCAAGTAAACAGCGGTTTCTGACCAGTCGCCCACAAAGTTGTGGTATCAGGAAAAAAATTGGAGAGTTTGAGAGCCCATACTTCAGTTTGAAATTACAAGAGTCGGTGAAATTCAAAATCCATGTAAAAATCAACTTGAGCTTTTCAGTGTTCAGCAACAACTAGCGACATTGCTGCCCACCACATTAGGAGATGACCGTGATAGTATGTTTTCTTTGCAGAAATGTGTTTGCTTTTTAGATAGATGAACGGGATTAAAACCAAACACGCATGCTCTATGACAGACATGATATTTTTTTGACTGTTTCAACTCCACTGTTTGAGCAGCACACCTTGGTAACAACAAGTGTTAAGATTCAAGGCGATTTTATCATGATGAAGGAATCCATGCGTATAAATTCATAGTTTGGACAGGTCTAGTCTGACGCTGAAGTTGACTTCATTCCAAATTTTGAACTGCAAGCCACTGCATCTCTTCAAGTTCCATGGCCTGCTTTAACGAACTCACTGGTATTTTCTGAACATGGAGTCTATGCGGGTTATCTGATTTTCCTCGGAACACATCCATCAGTCGAAGTGCAACAACCTAAAGTTCTGATAATCTAGGTAGGTCATCCAAATAGGTTTTCGTTGAAAGTGAGCAATAAAGATCGATTCGATATCCCTTTGCCACTCGCTTGCCCGATACCGGGAAGTAACGTTTAAAAGTTGCCAGAATTTGGAAACGCCGTGCAAGTTGCCATCATTCTGACTGATTTCATCGAACTGGAGATAACGATCCTTCGGTCTAGGACGTTTTTGAGTCCCTCGGAATATCATCGAAACAACTGAGATTCATGCACTATTCGATCTTTTCGCTTCATTTGCTTCGCCGTTTGCTACTTTTAATAGTTCAGCAGATTAATCCTGACGCTTAGTAATTTTATGAACTGTAGAGTCTATGGTCGGTTTTTGGGTTTGTTTGACGAACGGCAACTTCTTCTCCTGAGAGAAAATATTATCAAACTAACATCTTCCCTGTAATTGCTTTGGTCAGGCAGTATCCTCAACACTTTTTTCGGATATTCAAGCATGCTGGTCTTCAAATGTCTTCGGGACGTGTTTCCTCACCAGCCACTGCGCAAAACTTCGATGGAATTTAGTGATCACTCCATTGTTTTGCATCCAAATTGAATAGACTTCCTTCTTGTTCATGCTCACTTCTTGGATGAACCCATGCTGAAACGCGGTATCTGCTTGACACTGAACCACGTGTTTTTTCTTGATACTTCCAATGCTGTAGAAATCGCCACTAATCCCCAACCGATTCGATTGCATAACGCAGCATTCTCTTGCGGGTTTGCCTTCCCTCAGCAAAGACAGCTTTGAACCAGCTACAAGTGCTAGTCACAAGGACACGCGAATCCTATCAGGTCAGTCTTTCGTGGCTTCGACCCCCGTCCAAATTTGATGTTTTGTGTGCATAACTGTTGATAAATGTGACAAAACCCATCCGCGCCGGCTGGCATCACAAGTGGCGTCTGAGGTGGTACGCTCGATCAATCGTTCTCATATTTATCCAATTCAGTAGAAAACATAACTAGAACCAGTGTCCCGTAGCTCTCTTTCGTCAGTCCGTCTGATTTATTGGAGTCTATTTGAGTTCTTTAACAAAAAGAACATTCCGCCTTTCAACATTACTACAGGTTCAGATGTTCAGTTCACATGACAGATCGATACCGTGTGGAGTCTCTCACAGTTCACACACAATGTAAATGATGGTCTGCTCTCTGATGGGGGGTTAAACAGTACTCAGACCAATCAGAGGCGTTATATGTTGACTTCTGCCCCCAATCACATTCCACCTGAATGAGATCAAATCATGCTTGGATTACCAAACTTCGTTCACCTGCTTATAAAAGCTTACTTTTCTGAATTTTACTCAGAAATACCACGTTTTATCTTGTTCATGAAGTCAAAAGTCAACCCTCAGATTGGGTTGACAGTTTCCAGTCAATTGGAAAGAGTTTGGAACCGATTGAGAAGTCATCGTTTCAGAAGAGCTTGGTAAACAATCGGTAGTTTTTATTTGGGCAACGTTTCGCTTTTGACACAAAAGCTTCATCAGGCCAAATGAACAGGTCACCAAATTGGCCAGGTTATAAGACAGACGGGGAACCAATCAGTAAGTCCTCATCAAACTGGATCAGTGTTGAGTGTCAATTA